TCTTCCTGCTTTATTTTTCTTCCAAAGGATTTATCACCGTCTGACAGAGTATATATATCTTATCTCTTTGCTTATTGTCTGCCTCTCCCCATTTGAATGTGAGCTTCATGAGGGCAGAACTCTGTCTACTGTATTCACTGCTTTACTTCAGTATCTACAACAGTGGCTGGAATTTAAGAAGTATTTGCTACCTCTTTGCTAAATGCATAAATGAATGAATGACTAACTGAATCTGAGCGGCAGACCAAAAATTAAAACTCAATCAAATGCTAGTATATTGAAATACTTTTGTAAAAATTAAAAATGGGTGGGTAGGAAGAAAAAAATGTTAAAGTAGTCTTTTAAAAGGGACATAAAAATGCATTTTTGTTCTTAGTAAGAATGAAAGAGAAGTACATAAGAAAAAACAACAGTAACCACTCATTGCATTTAAAGAATTGCAATATTAATTTTAAAAACTAATACCAGATTCTAAGTGCTTTATTTTAGAACCTTTCTGTGAATACATACATTAGATTGAAGCAGAAAAGATTTATAAAGTATGACTTGGAAAACAAACTTGTCCAAGAACTTCCAAGATACATAGTTACCAAAGCCAAGCCTCATTTACTTACTCACAGTATTATAATATTATATTCCATAAGGATGTAAGTAAGTCTGATTTCCTAAAATTTGTTTTATTTCACTGTGAAATATTAAAATGGTTTATTTTTAAGTCATACATAATATTCCTTTATAATATAACATGAGGATATTTCATATGTTCATTGTTCCATTCGTATATCCTCTTTTTCACACCTGTAAGATTCTTTTTTTTTTTTTTTTTGATGGAGGTACTGAGGATTGAACCCAGGATCTCATGCATGCTAAGCATGTGCTCTACCACTGAGCTATCTCCCTATCCCCTGTAAGTTCTTACTGAATAAAAAAAAATCTTCCTTTATCCGTATCCTTCCTTTACCAGAATTAGTAAATGGTTTACATTCATGAATACATTATTAACTTATTGATAATAAATTGGGTTCTATGTTTGATTCTACTGCAAGATTGTTCAGATTTATATAAATTAGCCACTTCTGAATCAAGTTGCATGAACCTAGTTTCCTTAACTGTGTTCTTAAAATGATGGATCTGCAGAACCGTAACACAGCACCCACAGTTAATTAATTTTATGCATGGCTTTTCTTTAAGGACAAAAAACATTCACCTTCTTGTACCTGACACTGATTGCAGTAAACGCTTAGTAGGTGGATTGGATATTTCAATTTTCAGAATTCACTTGAAAAGAAATCTCATATACAGAAATTTGAGAACTTCAATGCATTATACAACATAGTCACAAAATCTAATTAAATCTGGTTTCTTGCCCCAGAAGAGTCTGGCCATGAGTTTTTGCTTGTTATGCCTCAGGCTCCTTACCCTTTAAGAGCTGATGATGAAAACTTTGTGTTTTGCCACAGAGCAATTCTAAACCATTCTCTCCCTTGATGTTCTGAATCCACACTGGGGATAAAGCTCTGCTATCCTAATGGCTGCCCTCCCTCTGTCCTAAGAGAGGTTGTAAAGGCTGTTTCTGTGAAGAGTTTTGTGCTCCTGAAATTCTTCTCATCTACTCACAAGCTCAAGAAAGCCACGTTATGCTTAAACTTTTGCAAAAATTCAAGACTCCTGTTCTGAAGAAACGTTTCGTTAAGAAGAGCATGAAAAGAAATAGATCAGTTTATTGCTTTGAAATAAACTCAAGAAATGTTTACTTTAGCGGACTTGCTGAAGCTTTCTTCTTTAGGTTTTTTAAGTGGCTTTTAAAAGATTTTCATGCTATTTCTGTGGTCTTCTACTGAAGTATACCTGATTATATGTGCATGCATGTGTATTTAAACTTTTACTGCTTCAAGACTTTTGTTTGGGAGAAAACTCTCATTATCACATTTTACCAACTTTCTAAAAGCCTGGTCCTCACAAGCTTAGAAGACCTTAAAATAAATGAACTCTGCAGCAATTTAAAAATCAGATAATGCTCAGATATTGCTCAGATATTGGCTTTTAATATCATTCTCCAATAAAAGGAACCAGGCTGATTCATGGGCTGGGGTGGTAAATATACAAGATGAGCCTAGAGCAACATAGTGCTAGAAAATAAGGTAGAGCTCCAAAGCAAACAAGCAAACAGACAACACACAAAAGCAATGACAGACATCTATTCAGGGGGCACAGGAGCCAATGGTCAAAACTGGAACAACCTGAGCAACAAAATAAGTAAAGTAATGCTGAATTATAACCCAAAGTATAAAATAAATATCCAGTGGTCCATATTGATATAAA